TATGCATTAAGGACATCCTTGTACCGGAAGTCCAAGGGTGGCCGCACTGCTCTAAATTAGAGAAAATTCGACCTTATCATCTGAAAAACGGACTTTTAAAAAAAGCCAAAGGATAATTCCTTGGCTCAGATCTCAGTATTAATGAACCTATTGTATCGTAGAAATTAAGCTGCAATTGTTGGTTAGGGCAGTCTTGCGCGTTGTTCTTCAATGGAGGGGAGGGGGGTGTTTTAACAGGCATATTTTACTTAGTAAAGTAAACAGATAAACATTGATAATTTTCACAAAATCTCTGATGTTCTGGGAAGTGAGTAAAGCCTTACTTCATTCGCTTTTGAAAATCATGATATAAAAAATCAAAAATTTGTAGATAACTGCTAGTTGCGTTTCTTTTGCGTGTCAGTATATAATTATTACCAATTGATTTCCTCTATTACTTAAATCTAAGTCTAGAATTTTTATTTTCATTCATATCTTTTTTTCAAAGTGCGTTAAAAGCCTCCATGGTAAAAAATTATTATGTGCATTCTTAACGCACTTTGAAAAAATTTTTCAAAGTGCGTTGAGTGTGTCAAAAATTTAACGCACTTTGAAAAATTTTACGCACTTTGAAAATTTTTTTCAAAGTGCGTAATTTTTTCAAAGTGCGTTGCCACAGTGCCCCCTTTACACCTTTACATCTACTTTATCAAAGACTAGAATTAAAAAAAAACAGAAGAAACGAATTAATGAACTTAAGCAATCGTCACTCTTTTTTTCCAAGACCCTTTAATTTTCCCTTTTATTTTATCAAAACCTTAAATATTTAAAACGTCAATATCTCAAGTTCTACAGTGACTTTATCATAAAAAAGTTATCAAACCAGGATCTGTTATTTATCATACTGGTTATTTGAATATTGATCAATCTTTACATTTTTTTTTCAAAGTGCATTAATGTGCTCGATATTAACGCACTTTGAAAAAAAAATTTCCAAAGTGCGTTAGCTTGGTCCCAAATTTAACGCACTTTGAAAATTTCTTTCAAAGTGCATAATTTTTCAAAGTGCTTGTAACAGGCGTTGTTGGCTTGAAAGTGATATGTTTTGTGTAGGGAATGTCGGAGAAAGAAACGTCAAATTTGATCTTCTAACATAAATATATCTTGTACTGCACTAATATTCCAATTGATTATGTGTCACGGAAGCCTAGTGGTAGAGCGTTCGCTTCGTCATCGGGAGGCTCGGGTTCGATTCTCGTTCGCGGCGCCGCGTCATACCTAAGACGTAAACAAAGTTAGTGGCTGTTCTTTCTTTAAGCGCTCGGCAATAGAAGTGAAAGTCACGGGTCTTTCGGATATGACCTTAAAAACGTAGGTCATGTGTCACGGTAGGCGCTGGCACGATAAAGAAAACCTCACTATTCAATGGCCCTGAGTGCCGAGTATAGGTCAAAATTTGAAGCCCTTCACCGACATACGGTGACCTCTCCATATGAGTGAAAATTTCTTAAGAGGGACATTAAATAATATACAATAAATCAATCTCATTGAATATGCAAGGCCTATATGTACCAGACCCAGGGTTGGTAATGTATCCCCACGCCAAAATTGAAAGCCCTCTCTGTCGGCGCATGAACCGCGACATGTAATATTTTTTTTTTTTTTTTTTTTTTTTTAGATTTTTTCAACATTTACACAAGGATTCTCTCCAAAGATTATCTCGATCTCATCTGAAATAATAACAATGTTCCAACAATTATTCACTGTAAGTTTTCTTTTCTCTAAACACCAAGCAATCTGGGTTTTTTCTGTTGATCTCGGACACCCCATTTTTTTCTAACAACGCGTCGTTTACAATGATTATCACGTGAAAGTCTTTGAAATTTACATGGATGAAAAGAGCCATAACATATAGCTATTATAATAGCATTCGTGCTGACATCATATTCACAATTAATATCCTTTTAAACCAGTCTTATGTTAGTTTTAGTATGACTTATTATCCAGTTCTGACCATGTTTTGACAGCTTCCGCGGTTATACCTTTCTTTTAGAAGTTCTGATTTCACCAGTTGAGAAATTGCATATTTTCCCCAAACAGATCTGATGGAAGACTCAGGTATTTGTATTAAATTATTACCGATGCCTTAGGGATTTGTTTTACCCTTTCTTTTTCATGTTCACATTTAATGTTTTGACATGATTTAATATACTGAAAGGAAAAAGAAACACACGGTAAACTTTTGAGATGAACTAAAGAGCAAGAGCCATCTTATGCATAAAATGGTCCTGTACTTATATCAATTAATTAACTATCACCCTCTTTCCATTTTCATATATCAAAATAAAGTAGACACTTGGTGCTATCATGTTCTATAATGAAATTTTGTTTTGAGAATCCAAATATTTGAAAACAGGCTTTGAGATATTGCAATGTTCTTGAAATTTGCAGAAAATATGCGTATTTGACTACCTTCAGGAAAGAATTAGAATATGAGGAAAGCCCACGATCCAAAAAATAAAACATGTTTTTTGATCTTCAGAAATAGGCCTTTCATTATGTATTGGCATATTTTGGATCGGTGGTTGTGCTCTATTTGAAATATTATAAAAACGCTTCAACTTTAGGTCATTTTTAAAGGAATTTACAGGATATGAGGAAAATGACGCATTTTATGACGTCATAATGCATTGACTAGATGTAAAAATACGTCAAAATTAATAGATACGTGGTCACCAACAGTCCAAGTGATAAATACTGCATTTGCAACCTAAACTGAGCGGTTTTGAATTTTCAGAAATTCTCAGGGCCAAATAAGGCCCAAAGTGGCTCTACCTCTTTTTGTTCTTTTCATCTTTTTTTATTTGTATCTAATTTTAAAAATCTTCTTTCAAAAAGATATGACTAAAATCCAATTTGATTTTGTCTAATAATTCATGAGTTATTGTAGCTCATATGACGATACCCCCCAAAAGTGAAAATCGAAAACGCTCTTTATCTTATGTCTCTCCCGCGCATCTGTCAGGGCCCTATTTCTCCATTGCATGTAATTCATCAGAGTGTTTATCTTTCGAACCCTGGCTATATTGGGCATGAGTAACCACGTCAAAACATTTGTCAAACGAAGCCCGCATGCGCCAGTGAGAGTAAGACAACAGTAAGCTGACTGGTTCAAAAACAATTTGCAGCATTGTTTTTTTTTTTCATTTTACGTTTGAATGTAATGAGTATAATAGTGTACTTTATAAATAACGTTTTTTGTGGCAGTAATTAAGGTGGCGATTTAAGCGATGACAGGACGAATATTCCACTCTTTACAGGTCATGGTTGATTGAAATTCATTCCAGGCCCTCTTTGACAACGAGTAACAAGTTTTATGTTGGAAAATGTACAATAAATCTCTTAATTACCCGTTGTTGCCATTTTCATCGATTTGGCGATTCGAAAACCAGACCCCATGGAACTTTCGTAAATTCAACCGAAATTGCAAGAAATTTACATCGTCTCTAAATGTCGAAACGCGATGTGTATACCTCAGGTGAATCAAATGGTGCAACAAGATTTGTTGACAAACTCGTCGTCATCAAATTGCACGTATTATGGGCTTTTTAGCGTTTTCCCTACGTAATACATTTAATGGTTGAGTAATTTTGAACACTGATTTGGGTGCATTGTAACTAACATTCTCATCTGACCAATTTTTGTAATTTTCGGTCATGCAGTCAAAAAATATCGAATATTGTGAAACCCTGCGTTTCTTTTTCCTTTCAGTATATTTCCGTCGATGACCCATTCTTAGTAATCCAGGGCATTAACGATGGTATAAATCCGTGGGATAATTTGCATAACGGATGAATCATATTTTCTTTTAGATACATTTGAAGCTTTCGCCTTTATATACACAGTAAATAAAAATGTGCACATTTTTACCAATGTAAACAGCATTGTTTCCAAAATATATGACATTCTATTTTCCCACAAATTTAGAACTTTAAAATCCAGTGCATAAATTAATCATAGAATTATGAAATAACAAAATTAATTATTAGAATTATTGCTGTTTTTTTTTAGTGTATCATATTTACCTCAAAACAACAGTAATTGCTCTTTCTTATATGTGTAGTTTACTCGGTTTTTTTTTTTTTTTTTTTTTTTTTGCATTTATGTCTTCCAATTCTTTTAAAAGTTTTTAATATGAATAAAAAATAATAGAATTTTCTGTGACAACTCTCGTATATTTTGCTGCGCACGTCTTTATCCCGGATGTTTATCCCGAACGTCTGATACTGATCTATTTAATAAACATAAGTTGCGTTAACTAATTGAATTTTTTTTCTAATGTGCAGAAATGCACCAGCCTTTTAACTTAACATTGTTTTGCTTCAATGCTTCAATGCATTTGCCTCAGATTTCAGCGTAAATTTATGTGCCTAAAATGTAAGACGTAGTATTGATTTCATGCCATGGTAAAAATGGAGTCAATCAGGTAGGTAAACTGATTCTTACGTATAAACATAACCTGGATTAAATACACTTGAATGTGATGAAAGCTTAACATTAATTTTTGCTTAGTTATGAAGCCGTAGCGTTGGTAAAATAATTGATGCCATTTAAAATTCTGTATTTACACATGTGTTACGTTATAAGACTAGATTAAATATAGAGTTTAAACTTATTTATAACTATATAAGTTATAAATAAGTGTAGACTTTATATTAAATCTTAATGTAACACATGTCTAACTTGAGACATAATGAAAATATATACTTATAAAATTAAAATACGCTAATATGTAATGTCTATTATGTCTATTGAAATGTCAAAACTGATAAACTGCAAGTCTTTACACTTCTTATACAAAAATTGAAATACATTGACAAGTTCTCATCAGATATTGAGAACATCACATTCTCTCACATTGCACTTATATTTACATTCGCTAACGGTAAATGCAGAGATGAAATGAAGGTACTGTTACTAAATTTCAATGTTTTGTTTTACCTTACAGTAAAATGTGAAAGCTTCCCATTAAGATTCAGGGGGACGGTAATGAGCAGATGGTCTTAAACAGAAAGTTAGATTAAGAAGAATAGAGATAAACAACACATCAAGGGAAATGACTACGTATATTACACAGAGTTTGGGTAACAATTTATCAAAAAAAATGTAATAAAACATTTTCCTACAAACAGGATTCATATAAGTGAAAACAAATATCAAAGCATTCATAAAGGTTAAATACAATTAATTTTTAAAATTACAAGTTAAAAAAAAAACAGCCAAATGCAATCTTGATACGAAGATAAAAAGATAAAAAAAAAATTCTTACAAATTCATGCTAATTTTTCATGCAGAACATTACTTTTACAGGAATAACCATATGCAGTCTTTTTTGTGTGTGCTTTTTTCAAATCAGTGTAACTTTTAGGACCATTGGAATTAATCCAGAGATGTAAGGAAGAATTAACATGATTTACAAGTTGTTAAACTATCTGTTGGCATTTTTATTCATTTCTATTGTAATAATGTCATACTTGTCTCTTATGAGCTCTAAATTAGAAAATAAATATTCTATTCTATTTTTTTCTATATTAAAATTTGCTTAATGTGCATTATATCTGATTTCTAATTCGCTATTATTTGTCAGATTGTGTGCACAGGATGTATTGGTTCTTATAGAAAATATCAATGGTCCTCTTTGCAAGGTACTCGGTGAAACACAAGTTAACTTTCATAATATAACTCAAGGTAATCATATCTTAATATTTCAAGGGGAAAAAACACCTTTGTGTAACATTGTATTTTAAAGAAGTTGAATTTCTCTGAGTAATTTTAATTTTACAACAATCATATTTTATAAGAAAAATTTGGAACATTTAATTGGCTATCATAAAGAAATTTTGAAAGTAAATTAAAATTTATTTTCTTTGTTGCATCTTTCGCTGGTGAACAATATTCGGCCATTACGAGTATAAAAAGTCTATTAATTTATAACCCATGCAATATTCTTGAACCAAACAGAAATATTTATTTTCAGGATAAGTTTTTGAGTAAATACTTATGATAACAAATTTAAGAAAACATGTCTCTCTCAAAAATATTATAACGATTACTTGTCTATAAAAGTTTTTGATTTTTAGGTTTAGATTTTGAGGATTTTGTTTGATTTTGGGAATTTTTGACTCGACGGCATAGTCTTGAGAAAGGAAATTAATGAAATGGGTCAAATATGTTGAACACATCAGAATGATTTATAATTTTTTCAGATCTTTAGCTCTAAGTGGATCAAAGAGATCTACAATTTTAGACCCCCATTTTTCCAAAAGGGATGGGCATTAAATCTTATTCGTCTGTCTGTAATTCCCTCATTCTGCCCATCTCTGAGTCTGTCACAAAAACATTAACCTTGGTCATAACCTTTAAATAAGAAGACATAGGGCTTTCTTGTGTCGCATGTGGATGACAAAAGGCAAGAATACTTATCCAAAAATTTTATGTTTTTTTTTTACCCCGTGACTTTAACCTTGGCTTACTTTATACGTCGTATCTTTTAAGTATTACATGCGAAAATACTTTTTAAATGTGCTGTTTTTGATTATGTGACCTTGACCTTCATATTTGACCAACTTCTCATTTGAAAACTTTTATCTTTGATTAAAACTTTTGATTGGGAAGAGATATTGTTTGGATGTTAACTTTTAACTTGAACTATAATTTTTTTTTGTTTTACCTAAAAATTTTAACTACTAGTATTTCTTCAAAAATTAATTTTACTTAAGATTAATGAAATATAATTGAGAGAAGATGGTGTTTTCATATAAAATATATGTTTGCCTGTTTTTGTTACTTTAATCTTTAGATTTGACCCAAATTTCAAAATATTATCTTCGATTGAAAGGTTACATTAGAAAAGTGCAGCTTGAATATTTGAATGTGTAATACCTTTGACATGGTTTTTACTATCTTGCTATAGTTTTTACACTTGACCTTCTTAATTGACCTTTTTTTCAAACATTTTAACTTTGAAGTTTACTTTTGAATGATATACTGTAGAGCCGTTATATTTGATAAACTCACTTCCTGTGTCGTATTATTTCCGACTGTCCACGTGAACCAGATTTTCATGTTTGATTTCATTTTCAAACATTTCATCATGATCAGTGTTGCTGCTAACTGCATCACCAATATACTAAGACACTTTTGTATGGAGGTATTATTGTCTGGTAAATTAAAATTTGTGTATATTATTCTCGACACCTCATATATCAGAATGAAGGAGTTGAAAAGATAATATTTCCTTTCCTCGACATAAATGTATATTTTTAAAAACAGAAATGGAAAACTGGAGTCGAAATTTAGTAGGATCTACTTTTTTGATGAATCGACGGAGTCTGATTTTTTGACTTCTTCTACTTATACTTTTTAATTTTCTTATTTCTAAAAATAAACAACCATAAACTTAAATAATTTATCTTATGTAATCACAATTCTTATTATTGATATTCATGTATTTTAAAGATATATTAAATGAATCTACTTTTCCTAACAAACTAAAATATTGTTAACGTTAATTAAAGGCTTCGAATCTAAAAAGAGTTTTTGGCACAACAATCAGGACAATGTGTTTTTCTTTCTTTTTGAACTATTAAAATCTTAATAGTATGTTTTATATCATTAGGGTCTTCCGTTTCCAACGTAAGACCTTCTACTGATTCTGTTGGTCAAGATTATTATTCTTTTTTTTTCTTCTACTTCCTAGACGCCGAATTTGAAGACTCGTATCTCACTCATTTCTCAATTCATTTCGCTCAAATTTTCAGAAGTATTAGAAGTTACTAAACTCAGTAACAGAATAATGTCTAAAATTTCAAAAAAGTCACTTCCGGTTTTGAGTTATTTCCCTTTAAAGGAAAATTTATAGGCTTTCGTTTCCAGACAAAGGCTCAGAGACGGCTAAAGCTGGAGCAGAAATTCTACTGATTTTAGTTAATAGAAGAAGTGAAGTTGTGCATATCGGTTTTTGTTTTCCGATTTCTCCGTTCAAAATGGCGCTATTTAGGGGTCAAATATTAGAACGCCTTAAAGAGCGAAAATTTACACATATTTTGCTTTTTATCTTCTTAACGAAAATATTTTGTGAAAACATATAGAAAAAAAATTGTGCAGAATTAAAATATCTTTCAAATGATATCTCGAAAAAATGGGCTGACCCCTAAATTTAGGGATCTAGAGGGGCCAAAAGTTTTTTCCAGATATCTCAAGAAGTATTGAGAATTTGTAATACGTCCAAGAAGCAAAGATGTTAAAAATGTCAAGCTTTATCTATTGAAGTCATCAAAATGCGTCCGGCGACATCACTTCCGGTCAAACCGGAAGTCATCAGATAATGCATATTTTGCCGTTCTTGACAAGTTTTTGGGTAACATATGTCACTGGAAGCATAAAACTTAATTTTCCGTCCGTCAACATCACTTCCGGTCAAACCGGAAGTAGCCAAAAATAGCTTATTTTTTTAGGTTTTGATGCAAAATTGAAAGTATAAAGTGACTGGAGAGGGCTTAGCTCATTACTTTCTTTTGTTTTGACGTCACTTCCGGTCAAAACAGGACAGAAGACCTACTCGTTGCTTTGCTCTTGTTCTGTATCTTTATCTTACCCAGAAAATTCAGTTTGTCAATATCTATTTCAATCAAATAACATTTGTCCAAAGAGTTTTTAAAGCTTTTTCTGGTATATGGAAACATCATTTTATATGACGAAAATACATTTTAAAAAATAAATAAGACATCACATAATTAGCAACATTTTTTCTCTTTAATCCTAATGTCAATAAAAAAGATAATAAACCTTGACCTTACCTTGCTTCCTAAAAAAACTGAAATCAAATTGTGATTTTTCTTCTTGAATATATGAAGGTGACTATTGGTTTCCGCTGCGTCTGTCCGTTCGTCTGTCGGTTTGTCCGTCTAGCTGCCTATCTGTTTGTTAGTCTGCCAAACTCTGTTTTATGCATTTTTTCTAAACACTTGCAGATATTGAGCTGATTTCTTGTATATGAGTGTATCGCAATGAGTAACATGTCAAGTTTATATTTCACTTAGTGACTTCTGACTTTTTATTTTTCCCCCAAAGGCTTACCATTATTGAGTTGATTTTTGGTAACCCGATATGTGGTTTACCTTGATGAATTATAGATAATGTTTTCGTTTTATTTAGCTTCAATGTTTTCTTTAATCACGGCATTTTCATTTTTTTAATGTCCATCACATTAAACTTGTCGTTAGGGGACTGCTAATGCAATGCTCTCGTAATGATTGTTTTTATCAATTCCGAGCTACAATTAATTTAGAAGAATATCCCTATAAAGTGAGCAAAAATGAATTCATTATATAGTCCTAAAACTTGCTCACGTGAGGTGTTCTGTTCCCAATGTATAATGTCTTCATTGTATTACTCCTGACATGATTTTTATTTGATGAAAATTGCGATGACTTAATTATCTTTTTCAATTTAAAGATGAAGGAAACTGTACAATTCCGTGTGCTGTAACAGCTGTTGTTCGCGTAAAGAAGGAAACTGATAAATGTTCTTACTATTATACAAATGGATTTAACAAACCGGAGACTCCTACTGAGAAAAAAGAGGGATATTTCTACTTCTCAAAACATATTTGTTGCTATAATTTTGTACCAAATAGATATGTTTACATGGAAGGAAAATGCGATTTCAATATTTATCGTAAGTATATAATATGTAGAGAAAGTAAGAATTAGTGTAATCTTTACAAAATTATTGCACATTTTTATAGACCTGAACGATAATATACATGTAATCTGAAAGAATCAATGATTTTGAGCATTCTTAAAAAAAAAATACTGAATTTTGTTTTCAACAAAATTGTAGGTAAGACAAATGTGCAGTCTGGAAAAATATGCACTTCAGATGAGCAATGCTACAACACAAGCAGTTTACTTAGATGTATAAGGAATCACTGTTCCTGTGCAGAAGGATATATTGAATATCATAATCAGTGTATTCGTGGTATGTGCAGAATATTTTTTTAATTGATAGTCATCTAAAAGTACCAATTTGAATTTCTATACTGCACTTAACATCGCGATTTAAGTCCCATTTTAAATGCTTTTAAATTATAGATAAGTTGAAGGCCCAAGTGAATTTTTCTCTGATCAAAATATATCGGTCGTTTAAGATGACTGTTGTTGTGTTTGTTGCTTTATGTTTAAGAATTTCGTCTTCCTATCAAGAACTAATTTACCAAAACATGACAAAAGGTATACATGGGTTAATAGATTTCAGGGTTATTTTTTCTAATGAAGAGACATACTTCCAAAAGAGGGAAGGTAATAATAAATAGTGAAATAAGCATCTTTTAAAAATCATCTTCGGAAGAACCTCTGGGTCAGAACATTAATTAAAACCTGGGTGCAAGCATCTTTTTGTATAGACCCAAGTTTGGTCAGATGGTCCATGGGGTCGGATGTCCTACAATATGCTTTATAATACAATGGAAAAAAATATAACAACCTTCTGAAAAAGGAAAAGGATGATTGGTTATATTCATATCGAACAATTCTAAGGTAAAGCAGATTTATATTCATTAAATTAATGACCCTCACCAACTTTTTTAGGTGTAATATTGGCAATTTTTGCTATTCATTAAAAATGTTTTTAAAAGTGAAAACAAGTCTCTCTCATTTAATAGGATTTTATAAAAGTCATTTTGTGGGAATGCATAGCCCCTGACCAACTTTAAGAAAACAGTGCTAGGCACGTAAGTGATCAAAATTTAACATATTAAATACAAAGAAAAAAATCTTTAAAAATTGCTCCTATCAAAAAAAGTTTTGGAATGAAAAGTCATATTTCCCCAACCAAAAAATACTATCTTGGTCAAATACTTACCATATTTAAACTTTTTCAAGTCTGACTCGATTTCTTTTTTCCCCTAGCGTAGGTGCTCAAGTGAGCGATGTGTTACATAGGTCTCTTTCATAAAGGTCACCTGAGTCACCTAGGTTCCTATTGCTATCTTTTTCCGAATGACGTTTGTCGTCCCATTATCGTCATCGTAAATTTTTGTACATTTTCAACTTCTTCTTAACCTCTTCTCTGGTACCACTGTAATTTCAACTAATTTTGGCATATACATATAGCATCAATGGGTTAAAGGAATTAAAAATTGTGAAATTCATAATTTCTTACCTCTTGTGTCTGAAGAGTGGGATTGAAACCATCAATATTAATGCAATCTTTTCATGTTTTCTCTAATCCTTGACATCAAACAGTTCTATTGACATTTTGTAAAAATCATTAAATTTTTGACATATTGTAAAAATCATTAAGCTTTCTCCCAAAATTGTGAAATTGATGGCCTGGTGGCGCAAGGGCGGGACTTATTGAAAATATACCTAAAATGCATTATTTCTTAAAAAAAAACAAAACTTGCACTCTGCTTCTTGGTATTAAGCAAACAAACTAAATGCATAACTTTCCTCTGGAATGGTGTCTCCTCCAAAATCTTCAACTTACAGCCCCTTGGTCAGGGGTTCTGGTGTTAGGGCAGGTATCTAATACATTAATCTACCTCTGCTCCTGGGTATTAATCCATTGAACAAAGTATATACATGTAAGCTAAGCTATAATGAGAAAGAGTGTCTCGTCTAAAATTGTGAATTTTATGGCCCCCCGGTCAGGGGTATTGTGTTAGGCGGGGATCTAATAATAAAAAAGTGAAATGCATAAATTCCTTTAAAAACTTCTCCTCTACTCCTAAGTATTAAAGCGATGAATTTTCTGCATAATTATAATGAGAAAGTACTTGATACATGTATTTTTTTAATTCTTGGGCATTATTGCTTCGTCGATCAGTTATTTTTTTTAATACTTCTATGGGTTCTTTACAATGGTGTATTATACTAAGGAACCCGTTAGGACCTCTTGTTTTTAAATATTATAAATTTATAAATTGCATTATTATAATTATTATTATTATTATTATTATTATCACCATCATCATCATCATTATTATTCTTATTCTTATTATTATTATTACAATGAAAATAGATATCACCTTTAACATTTATTTTGACCTTCTTTGGAAAGGCCTCTCATATGGTGAAGAATGCCAATTCAACGAACAGTGTAGTTTTTATGGAGGAGTTTGTTCAAGAAACAATACACATGATACATGTTCCTGTAAAATTAACCAATTTTACAATGCCAAGGCCAAGATTTGTTATGAAGGTCAGTCCCACTGAAAATACGTTTTGTTTCAGTAATACCTTTAATCAATCAATCTACAAAGATATACAGTATGC